TCTATGTCATTTTTCTCAAAAGTTAATAGTTTTGGAGATATAGGCGATTTAAAATCCGAAAAATGCGATACCTAATATGCATTTTCGAGGCTTGAAAAATATGTAAATGAGTATTTTTGAGATTCAAGAGTATTTAAACTAAAGTCTCGACATTGATTTTGGTGAGAAATTGGGGTAATATTTTCCGTAGCAGAAAAAGGAGATCTTTTGAATTTGAATTGTTTCCTGCAAAAATATCCGGCACCCTTCAACCTTCGATTTGTTTAAACGCGGTATTTTTGAATAGGAATCTTCAAAGGACAGAATCAGTTTTTTTTTTCAAATGTGAGCGGGCTCACAACATCTAATAAATAACAAATTAATTCTTTCAAATTAAAGCTTGTTAATTTTAGTGATTTATAAGAATATTGGACTTATTATTTAGTTTTTACATAAACCATAATATTTTTTTACAATTATCTGTAAATAATGGTTCATTCTGTCAGAAAATTTTAAAAGATTGTCTATCCAGCAAGGACAGAAAATCTCAAAATATTGTCTGTCCAGCAAGGACCACGAGGAGGTATGAGCCTTCCTTGCCAGGAAAGGAAAGGGTTAGGTATGTTAGTAAGAATATAAAGTTAGTTTTTTTTTCATTTTGTTTTTATTATTTTTTTTTTTGTTTTTATATTTTTTTTTGTTTTTTGTTTTTTTTTTGTTCTGACTCTATACAGTGTGTCGCATTTAAGATGAAGATACCCCTATATTTCGGCTATTAGAATAAATACCAATTTGAAATTTTGCACAGTCATACAGGTTGTCAATTCACATTTTTTAAGATAATCAACTGAAATTTAATTTTTAAACACGGCCTACTGTTAATGCACAAACAGAGTGAATCTTCAATATTTTGCTTCGAGTTAGAGATATCGGAAAAAGTTATTTGGAAAAGATGTTCCAAATATTATTATAACCCCACATAACAAAGTTTTATGTCAAAATTCGCACTTTTACTTTTTTCATTAATTGAAGAGCTTATTTCCAGTGTCTTAAATCCAAAATTTCGATTTTTTTAATTTTCTTTTTTTAAACTTTATAGATTTCTTCAAGTCTAAAATAAAGTTATATGTACCAAAACAACTTCTTATTTGCCATTTAAAAGTGCATATGAAAATTGTAAAATTGTATAATTTGTATGTTAAATTTGTATGAAAATCTGTAATTTCATGGATTTCATTATATGGATTTAAGACACTTTGGAAATAAGCTCTTCAATTGTAGTCAGGATTCTAAAACGGACAGTTGGCTGTCCCGAGATGCATCTTTAGACAGCCAATTGTAGATTTAGGATCGAGATTACAAATAATACTGAAAAACTAAAATTGCGAATTTTGTCATGAATTTTGGAATGTGCGGTTACAATAAGTGGAATAACTTTTCCAAATAAGTTTTTCCGATTTCTCTAACGCGAAGCAAAATATCGAAAATTTACCCTGTTTGTGGATTCGCAGTAAGCCGCGTTTAAAATTTAAATTTCAGATAACTAACTATCTTAAAAATATGTGCACTATCAACATGTATGACTGCAAAATTTCTAATCTGTATGTATTTTGATAGCTGATATATAGAGGTGTCTTCATCTTAAATGCGACACACTGTATAATAATGAATACTAGTGTTCAAGATGCATCGCGATAGCTGTAAAGAAATTAATTAGAAGGACTAAAAAGAATCGTCAGAGTCTTCTGAAGTCGAATCGTTCCCAGGTTGTATAACTATTGGTGCTATTGCCGGTAAAACAGGATATTCATTTTCTATTTTTACAACATGAGCTTCGCAACTTTTCCACACATCGCTATTAATGCCACTAATTACTTCTCGAATATTCTCAATGGCCACTGCGCTTAATGTTGGTGACTGATTATATTTTCGCAATCGTTTTTTTACGGTACCCCAAACCATTTCAATTGGATTAAAAATGCAATAGTATGGAGGTAATCGCAAAAGAGTATGGCCGTGCCTGCTGCAAATGGTGTCAATAACGTATTCGTTTTTGAAATTCCGACTTTTGATCATTCTAATTAATTCTTTTTTTACTGGAATCTTTTTAGGAACAGTGATATTTTTAAGTTCCATAAATTTTAAAATTTCGTCCTTTTTCGTGTTATTATTAGGTATTTTATTTAATATGCGGGAATGATACGACGCATTATCCATAACAATCACTGAATTCGGCGGAATATTGGGCAAGAGTTGTTCAACAAACCACTTTTCAAATAAATCGGCTGTCATATCTTCGTGATAATCGGCAGAAGACTTTGTTATATTTTTGGCCGACAATAGCAATGCATTAGATACAAAACCATCTTTGCTTCCGGCATGAAGAATAATAACACGTTTTCCTCGTGAACAGGGTGTATTTAATGCACACTTGTTTGTGTTGTCAACCCAGCCGTACTTGACAACATCATGCGTATCGAACCAGGTTTCATCTAAATAGATTATGTTTCTGTTTGAATTACGATACTGTTTTATTTTACTCAAATACTCTCGTCGAAGTTCAACAATACGCCGAGATTCCATTATTACCATTCGATTATCTAATTTCTTATATTTAAATCCACAACTTATCAAAATCTCGCGCAGTGTTTCCAAAGATGTATAATTATATTCAGGGAAATCTCTCAATTTTTCACGAATCAGTTCTAAAGTAGGCACTCTATTTTCTTTGTAAAAATTGTAAACTGTTCGCTGAATAACGTCTTTTGCAGCAGTGTCAATCCTACCCAATTTTTTATTTGGTCGCTTTCGTTTTAAGGAATGATCTGTAACAATGCCTAATTTAATAATTGTATATATCGTCTTATACCCGATTTTTGTTAATACATGAATTCTCGAAACAATTGCATTATCAGCCATCAAAATATTTTCTTTTTTCAAACACTCATACATATTTAAAACTATTCTTTGGGATTGTACGTGCAAATCTTTATTTTTTAATTCGGGGCTGTCATTAACATAATTGTCATTATCTATTGATAACACAGAAGTTGATGCATCTTGATCATTCGTATCAAATGGTCTCCAAAATGCCATCCTAGAAAAATATAATATTACTTACCTTATTATCCGCCTCTGATAGCTGCTTGCAAAATGAACTATTTAGGGTGTCATATAGCCAGACAAACAGGTGTTCCATCAAGATTTATTGCGATGCGCTTCGCTGTTGCCAAGTTTAAAATTATTGAATGTAACTTTAATACCATAATTAATATATCTGCAATTTTTCATGTTTCCAGGTAAGGTATAAAATCAATAAAATTTGGAAAAAAATAATACAATTCTTGAAACCGTTTTTCAGAACTTGGATTCTTAAAAGTTGTCTGATTTCTTAAAAGTCGATCATTATATCTATAAGAGTATTACCGCTAAATTCACCAACATGGCAACGTCGATATAGACCGAACATCGAAATCACCTCGAAATTCTGTCCAGACTACAATGTTGCCGATATTCGAAAATTACTTAGAGTATAAGTTATATATACAAAGTTCACAGTTGCTTTAATTCATTAGTGAAGAGTCCATGGAAATATTAGTACCTAGTTAATTAATTTATATAGATATATTTTTTGAGAATATGTTCATATTATTTTTTAAGAGTGTCGTTCGTTGACTAGCAATTGAATAATAACGAATAGAGAATAGAGAATATTTTTTAAATATAACCTTAGGAATTTTAGGAAATATATCTGACAACCTTGATTTGAAAGGCGGTCTCTTTGAAATCAGAGTGAGGCATATTTATGTTGGAAAATTATTAGTGGATGTACTATAACTAAAAGCAAGTTTTAAGATATAGAAATAAGTAAATTAATTTAAAGTTTATAGGGGTCTAAGCTGCTGTTAATTAGTAAGAGCTGGATCGGTAAGACACCATACGCCAATCCTTTATTGCTATGTCAAAACTGATTGACAGACTTTAATTCCTATCAACTAAGAAAGTAGTATAAAGATTGAGTCAGACCACTGGTAAATAAACAACTAATAAAGGTCAAGTTTAAAAAACGTAACAATTAATTAAAAAAATAAATATTGTAGTTTATAACAGACACCAAGAGTTCATTACATTAGTCAGTATCAAATTTCATCAACAATGTGAGTATATAAAAATTCAGTCTCAGCAAAAAGTAATTAAATAGCCTTGAAACATAAATATCGTAACATTAAAAACAAGTCATTGTGTTTGACGAGAAATCAAAATAAATTCCACCTTTGAATTAATTTAAAAAGATTTGGGAAAGAGTGAGAAATTATTACAATAATTTCTGACACTTTATTAAGAATAAATATAGTAATTAAAATATTTTTCAAATAAGGAAAATTCGTTACACATACGTAACTATATACAATAAGTGATGACAAGTTGAGAATTAAAAATATATGACTCTAATATACAGGGTGTATATATAACAGAAAGATGATATATTATATTGTAAATATTTAAAAAGTACAAGTCCCAATTATTAACATATTAATATTGGTTTAGATACCAATTTATTTATCAGTTTATAGTCAATAGGCATACTAATATGCAATACAATGTAGGTTAGTTTATAAGTCAGATGTAGGTAAAGCTATCACTAAAATTGTCTGCAATAAGCAGCTATATATGTATTTATAGGTTAAGGTGCATTTGAATTACGCGTAAAAAGTACTAATGCGAACTAAAGTCTGCTTACGGGAGTGCGACCGTTCGGGAAGCAATAACAGTGCGATTTGTGACACTGGAGAGACTCATTACGGGGAGAGACTCATGTTTCACTGTTTGATGTACAGCCACACGTCCATAGTCGATGGAGGACTAGACAGCTACATCAAGAAGATAGGAGCAGAAGAATGCTGAAATATACACCGCTATTGATCGATACAACTCTACGACAACGAAACCCACCTACGAGAAGGAGTAACATGCTCATTCATCAACGGCTATTGCTTCGACTCTACAATAGGCGAAACAACATGGAAAAACAATACAAAGACAACAGTTGTGAAAGTCAATTGTCACAACTTTACAGAGGACACGGCGAGAAGATCACAAATAAACAATCACTAGAAGAGCTGGTAATAGTAGAACAAGATAAAAACATATTTGCTCTAATGCTACACAAAAGGGCTATAATATGTAACACAGAAGTATGGCAAACTGAACACCCCCGAATCCTAATAAATTTCCTCGTAAACAAAATAAATCCTAGTATGCCACTCCTACCTCAAAACGTAGACCAAATGACCTACATAAATAGCAAATTCCTTACACCAAACAATCCTACCAAAGAGAAATAGAAAAGCTATACTTAGACACAGTACTACGACGATGCCAAACAAAGAGATGCAGCAAACACATACCAGAGACCAATGTAGCAGAAGTATAATGCGACAAAGCAAAGCAGTATCAACCTGAGACGACCACCCAGCAAGGACAGACCAATGGAGGAAGACAGCAGCAGTAACGCATCAATATAGTTAACTCGACACGTGGAATTGGCAAACGGACATTAAAACAGCCAAGACGACGCGAGTGAAGTGCGGATAATTCCCACAGGGATACGCGATAAAGTGTGAACAGTGAACGCAAAACGCGAGTACAATCGTATAGAACAATTAGAATACGCTTGTCGTAATGGACACATGTAATCACGAACAATTGTAATAAGCTAGGAAAGTCTTTCACTTGTTAAGTTTCAATAAGATTAATACAAGATTAACTCAACTTGTCATACACATAGGTTCAATACGGGGGCAGCACGATACATTCGCTGACCACGGTACAATAGTCTATAAGAAACAGTAAATGATAAAATATAAATTGGGACTTATATAAAAAAATATATATAGTAGATTATAAGTAATATAATATGTAAATAGTTAAATTTATTGTTGGAAAAGGAAAAGGCCCCTCGGCCCTTTTCTTTTTTTGCGTAGGGAGTAATGTAATGTAAGCGTAGCAAGTGAGTGAGAAGTTGGAATAAAGGGATAATGGAACAATAAGTAGCATAGAAAAGATAATAATTATTCGAGATAATTATTATATATTCCAAATTAAATAAGGGATAATTAATACAGTTAACTTATACATTTAAATTATACAAAGTATAACAATTGACCTAGTTATGGCATTGTTTGATAATTGTTTAAACGTATAAAAAGCACGAAACTATTAACAACAACAGCCGTGACCCAATTAGGCGCATAACGCCAAAACTGCAACTCAGCGAACCTACGACCTTGGTACTAGAACCGGTGTTGAAAGTACGACCACAATAAAACAAGAAGAAACGACGGACGCCGGGCAGTTAGTAATGAGTAGTCAGTGATAGCGGGGCAGCCGTGACTGCCCGAGGCAGTAATTGCCTCCGGGAGCGTCCAGTACGCGAGACAGTCGGTGATTTTCCGGGGGCCGGGTATCTTCTGTCAGAATTCGCGTGTAGTCCGGTTATTGTGGCAGCTCGAAAGTTCGCAACCCTCAACTGACCGAGTTCCAGAAGACTGAACGTGTCGTGGTTGAAGCCCTAATATACACATAAGGTAACAGATTTCTTATACTAACCTGTGTAATTATATTTGTACCTCTGTCAACTTTTCACTATCTTGCTACATCGTCTCCCGACGCGCAGAATAACGTGTTAACGATTGTATTAGGAACTTCAGGGTAGATTCAATATATTGTTGACTCTAATATGGTTTTTTTTAATGTTCCTTCGTCCGACTCACTAGAGACTAGGAGAACACGAGAATTCTGCGTATACATATCTCCGGCTTCAAAAGTAAGCCCATAACCTCTACTCTTTACAGGACCTGAGACCGAGGAGTTCTTACCCCTATCCCGAAATCCCTTATCTTCTCGTAAATCCACGAAGACGAGCCAGCCCTCCAGACCAGTGTGACCAGTATTCCTTGCAGCCGCTCGCAGGGTTAGCATCCCTTGAGGATCTATTGTATTTTACATTTGGTGACAGTCTTTACAGGACCCTATACATAGAAGTCCTTAATCCCTCTCCACTTCTCGTAAATCTGTAGCAGATTATTACATTTACGAAACAACGAACAAATTACAAAACGACTTCAATAGGAATGCATCGGCTTAAGTCTCTCGCCCTTAATGACCAAAACTGTTCTTTCGTCGGGATGTGTTCCCGAGCCTCAGCGATACTAAGATTGTAGGAATACAGGGGGAGGACAAATGTATTGAGACGAGTTTAGACGAAAGTTTTAAAAAATGGTTACTAATGACTGTACTATGTCGCATTCGTTACATATTAGCAGTTGATTGTAATGTGCTTCCTTCATCTTTAAAATTCCGTTCTTGCTATTACACAGTGGGAACTTTTATAATTCCCCTATTAACATATTTTTGTCTAGATTCTTCAAAGCATCACTTTCTGGTTGGGATTGTCCCTCTAAGAATTTGAAAGTGCAATTAGCCCTGAGTACGTCTGATATCTGATAACTGCTAAAATAACCTATTTATTTGATGAGTTTCTGAATGTGACTGTCTTCAGTCTTTGATTTTTAAGTTGAATTAGTACTAAACAAAGTATACAAACAATAAAGACAATGAAGATTAATGAAAAACATTACTTGCGCTTAAAATATTAGTAAAGTATTATAAAATATTGTAATTATAAAAAAATATATACAATTCAAAACAAAGTAAGGTTTGGTAACATTTATTGTTAAAAGATATTATGTATAATTATTATAATACATAAATATTGCATAAATAAATATACTGGTATATCACGTATTGTTAGCATATATACCTAAATAATTACATAATGTTATTTATGCGTTAATTTTATGCAGGAGATATGATTTGTTAAATAAATAGATATAATGTTATTTTTAGCCCCCCAAACCACATGGTGCGTGGGAAGGAGTATTGGATGTTACAGAAAATAAAAAAACCTGTGCACAAGTAAACGACCCAAATTCAGTTGAAGACTGCTTGGTTTTGAATGTATATACACCAGTAGTAAGTTGAGATTTATATTGCAATATACACTAAATATACAGGTGTAGCATTTTTCATATAAAAAATCTTGCACGTCATTCAAGATTTACGTCGTCAAAACTCCACAGCGCTGCCAAAACATCAGAATAGTTAGTAATTGAGGAATTTTTAAAATATCAACTATTTGTCAAACTATTATATTAACAGTAAACAAACTTAGTTTTAAGAATACTGCAACACATTAAAGACGTCCCGCTATTATTTCTTGTTCAAAACAATCTATTTTATATGAAAGCTTGTCCGCTTTCTACAGACTATTTATTTGTTTGGGCATATCACAATCACAATACACAACAATAATTAGTTTTTAAAGCTTTTAATCTAAATTTAATATGTATTTATAAATAAAATTTATTAATTATATGTATATATATATATATATATATATATATATATATATATATATATATATATATATATATATTATGATCAAATTGTGTAGGAAATCAAAACATAAACAAAATTCCTTCTCTGAATAAGCGGCAACACTTTATACACTTTTGCCACACGCTTAACTGTCAATAAAAGTATTTTCGTATCAATTTCGTACAATTGTCTAATATATCTAATTAAAATTGTTATTTTGTGGAATATTAGACTTAAAGAGTTATTTCATAAAATTTATATTATTAATAATAACAAATGTTTTTGGTTATTTAATCAATATAATTTTAAAATTTCCAATATAATGATGACTACATTTTTTGATTAGTACACCATATTGACATCTATGAAAGATTGAGCAGTTCCATATGGGTTTCGTATTATTAGCTGTTTTAGGCAAATTTGAACTCTAAGGTTGATGTTCTGTGTTTTACCTTGAAAAATGGTATATGTTATCGTTCAATATACAAAAACATTTTTTTATTAAGATTAACGTGTTTCAATAATTGGGATCATTGGCACATTTACAATAAGTAATAACAAAATAATGAGTAATAAAAATACAATAATGATGGATTCGACCATTACTTGATGGAAATTCATTTTATTTAACACTAAAACACTGAAAACATTTGTTTTCAAAACTTCCACAAAATTTATTGTAATTTATTATTACAACAGCTATTTCGGCATTCTTTTTTAAGTGAACAATAATTTTTGGCAAGTGTTTATTTTAAAGTCTTCAACTGAATAAGTTAGGAAGGGGAGAACTGTTTGTCTCAAGTTGTTCATTTAGAATTATGTCTGTATTTTTTAATTCTGCTAATTTTCATGGACTCTAAAAAAGATAGATTAAGGCCTTTATTTTGAATGTGAAGAATTTAAAATTGGTCATTAGAATAATGATTATGGCCTAGGAGGTGAAATACTTACGTAGAATCTGTTTTTGTATGAATGAAAGCTCTTTTGTGCTCTGCTATCCGTTTATTAAAAGTTCTACCAGTTTGACCGGTGTAAGTTTTTGGGCAGTCGGCACATTTAAGTTTGTATACACCACCCTGTACGTGATAATTTTTTTACTCTTGTTGTTTTCAAGAACCAAACTGTACTGCTAATAAGTATATTAGCAGTATGCCAAAAAAATGAAAAGGGTGCGTAGGTGCACCTTTGGCTGTTAATGGGTTAACTTCATTATCTGATTAATATTGCCTTTCGCACAATGTTTATTCTAGTATTTACCTCTTTCCTGGACATTAGATTTTAAAATAATAGTAATTCATTAAATTATTTGATTTGCAGAGAGCAGGTCCAGATAAATCATTGCCAGTGTTCTTTTGGATTCATGGTGGAGCTTTCGTTGTTGGCAATGGCTCAATATCCTCTTTCAACCCAAAGTTCTTGATTGATTACGATATAATAATAGTAACAATAAACTATCGACTAGGTCCATTTGGTAAGCATATATATTTTAAAAATAATAAAATAAAGGTTATTTTTAAAATATATAAAACAATAACGTTCAAGAAGTGGATGTTAAACAGAACTCGATAATTTCCTTCTAGGATTTTTAACAACACTTGACGAAAATATACCCGGCAATTTGGGACTCAAGGACCAACTTCTGGCCCTTAAATGGACACATGATCATATTATTCAGTTTGGAGGAGATCCCAAGAAAATAACAGTGGGTGGAGAAAGTGCTGGAAGTATGTCTGCCGGATTCCATTTGATTAGTAAAGCAGCTAGAGGTATGAAATATATTATTTTATAAAAAGATTTCCTTGAATGTGTGATAAACTAATTAAACCATTTTTTTCTTCAAACGTCAAATAATGATGACATTACTTATCTAATTTGATCCTGTCGAGGCTTGATGTCTCCGCCGGCAGCAGTTTTTTTTCCCATTTCTTTACGGCGGAGGGAAAAATGTTGTCATAGCAACAATATGAAACATGTTACAAAGCAACAATACAAATGTCATTAACAACAATTAAACATTATTTTTATTTATAGTAATATTGTCAAACAACTGTAACCAGGGAAACGCAAATCCCACCGACGACTTAATTATTTTAATTTCTAACATCTAGACGACTTTGATAGTTGTCACAGTTAATTTCGAGTAAAAATAGCGTATAAATTGTACTATTTATGGTGGAAAATTGCTACGTTTGAAGAAAAAATAGTTTTCCGCAAATCGCCAGGAACTTTTGACATTCCTGTCAAAATTTCTTGAAGACAAAGTCAGGACTTCCTTACTGTAAGGAAATGTCATTTCCTTACTGTAAGGAAATGATATTTCCGTACAGTTGTTAGTGTTCTACATAAGTTTGACAATTCAACCTCAATACGTTTCCATAGTAACGCAAGTAACTTTATTAGGAATTTCAAAGCACCATTTATTTGGGAATAAAATTATCGCATTTTTTTTTTAATCAATCAATATCTGTCGAATTTTAAACGATTTGCGGAAAAATATTATGTTTACCTCGTAGGAAAGCCACATTCCTGGACTCTGTGTTGCTAAATCTCGGCTTGCGCCTCGACTTAGTAATCTTCACAGTCGTCCAGGAATGTTAAGCTTTTCCTACCCGGTAAACAATGTACTAATACTTTATTCGGCAAAGAAGTGACTTTTCTTAACTTGCCCTCTATTACGCGCCTCACGTCAAGAAAAGTCATGCTTCTCCGATGCTTCTCCGCCTCATAAAGTAATACACTATTATTTTGTAGTACAGTAAAGTAACGAGTTGTTTTACTCATGACCTGTTTCATGTTTTAATCATTTTACTTTAATATAAACAGTTGATTATGTAGTTATTTCCATTTTAGGCCTAATTAGTGGCATTATTCAACAAAGTGGGTCATCACTATCCAGCGTCTTTTATCCAACAAACGACAGAGAACTGGCATTTGAATTTGGAAAATCGTTGAATAGTTCATTTACATCAACTGAATCAAGTGATTTGTTAGAATTATTACAAGAAGCATCGTATTCAGATTTAATGACTCTAAGTAATAAGGTAGATATTTATTTTTTTTACTACAATAATGGTAATTGATATACTTCGGTGGCATGTGGACTTTCACATAAGCAAAGCATTTCTAAACAAGAAATGCTGTCAGTACCATATATAAACTATGGAAAAAGTTACATAAACTTTACAATAATCACAACTTGAATAATAAATAACGTACAAGTATAATGTTAGCTATGATAGTTTTAAAAGACCGTTTTGTTTTGAGATTTGACAGGTGTGCCAACTTTGGAAAACTAAATTTTCCTCAAACTAAAACCATAAAAACCAACCGTTTAACTTAATTTTTCACGAAAAGCTTCGTGATATGTATATGAATTATATACTTCATATATAGTCCGACTATACCTATAAAAATATATTTTTTAATAGAAACAATTTATTTGGTAATAGTTTACTTCTGGAAGAGGAGTAGGATTTATGGATGCCTTGACATTTAAACCTGTTATCGAGAATGACAACGATGACGCTTTTATTACCGAACCCATGCATGATGATGTATTGGAAGGTCACTTTAATTTAGTTCCTATTCTTATCGGTTTTAATTCTGAAGAATCTCTAATGTTCTTAGAAGGTAAGTAACATTTACGGTACTTTTATATTTTAACGTATTATTTAATGAAGATTAACATGTTCATTAAATATTTTCGAAAACACGAATTTGGATACCTTCACATTAGGATTTTTGTTGCGCCTATAGTGGAATAGCAAATTTGTTAATAAAATCATTTATATTTTGAATATCCGTTTCCCTTGTCTTATTATTAGTAGGGTGCTTGCTCCTTTTATGCAATGGCGGACTGATTAACTCACCACCTCTTGATTTGTTTATTAAAGCTCTGATTTGCAAACAGTTACCATATCACTTGGTTCTGTTAGTAATGTATAAGTTGGTGTCTTAAAACGTTTATTATGATTTTGAGCTGTTGTACATAGTCATTTATTAACATTTATCAGTATATCAATGTGAGCAGTCTCTAAATTAAAATCAGATAAGTTGTTGAAACTTTAGAAAATATTTTTTTTTTCAAGAGATAACAACAATTGAGGCTTTCGTGGACAGCTACAAATTCAATGAAAAAAACGTTTCTCAAGCACAATTCTACCACGAGAATTGAAATATGATTATCCTAAATATCTTTCCAACTTAGACTTATATATTTTTCAAACTGCCTTAGTTTTCTTACGTTTTTTACCCCTATTTGATCCAGATTCCACAAGTCTATCTTTTGTGAAGCTTTCCTAGTTGTAGAAGACTCATCATCAGATGGTGGATGGAAGTCAGAGCCAGAATCTGTTTCAAATTTGCTGAATTTACGAGAACTTGATGTATCCGACAACGGCATTTCCAAACTATAAGAAAAATATTTTCTATTAATTAATTCAAGCAATCAGTTGTCTTGAAGTTAAATATTAGCCTATACTTTTTGCAACATCATCATCATCATCACACAGCCAAATTTGTCCACTGTCAAACATAGGCCTCCTCAAGATGTCTCCACTCTTCTCTGTCCTGTGCAGCTGCGATCCAGTTTGTCACTATTCTTTTAATGTCGTCCGTTCATCTGGTAGGTGGTCTTCCACGAGTTCGCTTGTCTGCCCTTGGCCGCCATTCTAAAATCTTCTTTGTCCATCTGTTGTCTCTCTGTCTTGGGACGTGTTCTGACCATTTCCACTTCAACTTCGTAATCCGTTTTATGACGTCTTCCACTCCAGTTCTTCGCCGTATCTCATCATTTCGTATTCGGTCTCTCAAAGTTACGCCAAGCATAGATCTTTCCATTTTTCGTTGTGCTACTTGTAACTTTTTTATTGATGCTTTAGTCAATGTCAGTGTTTCAGCTCCATAAGTGAGCACCGGAAGTACGCACTGGTTAAATGCTTTTCTCTTTAGCTTTATTGGGATGTTTTCCTTAAACACGTCTTTTAGCTTGCCATAGGCTGCCCATCCTAAAGCTATTCTTCTAGATAATTCGCATGTTTGGTTGTCTCTACTTATTTGTATTTCGTGGCCCAGATATATGTATTTGTCAACCGTTTCAATATGCCAGTTTTCTAGTTTCAATGGTTCACTTGGTACTAAGTTGGTCATCATTTTAGTTTTCGCAAAGTTTATTTCCAGCCCTACTTTTTGGGAGACTCGTTCTAAATCTTGTAGCATTTCGTTGGCCTCCTTTAGGTCGTCGGTTATTAGAACTATGTCATCTGCAAATGGTAGGTGGTTCAGCCTTTCGCCATCGACACTCAAACCTCTGTTTTCCCATTCTAACATCTGGAATGCATGCTGCATTACGGCATTGAATAGTTTTGGTGACATGTTATCTCCTTGTCTAACTCCCCTTTTTAGTTTTATTTTTTGAGTAGGGGTGTGGAGGTTTATTGTTGTTGTGGTATTTGCAACTTTTTGCAACATCGTTTAGAAAACAAACCTGCTTTCTTTATTTTAAGGTTATAATCTTAAAAAATGTAGAATCCCTATTTAAATTTTATGTTGAGGTATTTACAATTACTATGAATATAAAATACAGTAATTTACTCACCGTTGCACAAGATTGCACAAACATAAACCGTATAAAAGGCTGATAGTACTGTAAAAAACGAATGAATGCTAGACAAGGTGATACAAACACACAAAACAAGAGTGAGAATATATAAAATATCATACTGCGAACTGGGCCAACACTCACTTGGGCCCCATTTCCATAACTAGACCATATGAAATGTTTATGTAGCCTAACTGTACAACACGCGCCATTTTTTGGAATACAATAAAATGTTAGTTGAACCACTTTGAAATGAAAGATATGATAAAATGCCACCTATTGTACTACCTATCTGAATTATATAACAAAACCACTCCGCTCCTGAGCGACTCAATTATACTAAGCAAAGAGAAGGTTCTACGTTTGACGAAATGCTTTACACAGCACCGCTAATTAATCTGTAGCAATCTTCCACTTGACGCACTGGAAAATTGGTAGAAAATATAAGTTTTATGCAATATTTGCATAAAACAAAGTGGACTGGCAAGATAGCATAATTGGAAATGTAAAAAAAAACAATAATAAAAAAGTTCTTACCTAATGTTTTTTGTATTTTCATCGGTATCTTCGTTGTGGCAATAAATTTACTTTATTTCCTCCCTCCTACATAAAAAAGATTTTTTTTAATACTGTATTCACTATTACTCATGTTCGAAATGCCTGGTCTTTTTTTAATTTCATTAAGTTGCTATATAAAGTTGACAGTCTGATATTTTTCAGGTACTCTTAGCATCTTCTACTAAGGTAATCTTAGGTACTCTTAGTATCCTTTTCAGGTACTACTTTCAGGTACTACTTTCAAGTACTCTTAGCTTCCTTTTCTAGTATTTGTCTGGCTACTGTCTTGGTCAGGGTTGCTCGAGTCACTGTGTATAAATATCATCGAGCAATAAGACAAAAGAGGGAATCTAATCCTTATGAAAAGGAGACCAAAAAAGTGGCCTCTGATGGCGGACATATCCGGCAATTCGAATGTGCCAAATTTAAATTTTCTGACACTTATCAACAGTAGCTATATAATATTTTTCAGAATGTGTCTTAGACGAGAAAGTTTTAATTAATTATTAATGATAAGAGTCTAAAATGCGACACAATTGTTAAAAAACTTCAATATAAATAAGATTTCATGTGACATTTGGGACAAACAATAACATAACCCAACTAAATTTGATGTCAAACAAGGAGAGAGACTCTCTTTCCTTGTTTAATGTGGCCTCTGAAGATCGCACTTCCTGTCTAACAATATGTGTGCCACCACTACCTTTACATTCCCTCTTTTGTCGTTTTGCTCGATGATAAATATACAATATGTATTAGAAATATGTTAAAAATTAGTAAACGCTTGATTTCTTATTTAACTTTACTTTTCAATTAAAACACGTTTCTTTTCAAGTAACTAATAAAACACTCGTTGAAGAAAGGGCCAATTTTCTTGATGAACGTCCAGCAAACATCGTATCACCATTCTTAATGTAGCCGAAGAAGATAAGGAGAGAGTTGGTACAATTTTAAAAACATTTTATAGTTGTTCGTCTTTTACAGAAGATAGAAATGCACTAATAAAGGTAAGAAAATTCAATACATATTTTTATAATCTGTTAGGGATCTAGTATAACAAAAATATGGGCATATAAACATTGATCTGAAACATTGATGAAAAAAACAAAAATAATGACAAACACAGAAGACCCCAGACATATAACTATAAACGGTAGTGAGATAGAACAAATCCAGGAATATATCTACCTAGGCCAAGTCCTGAGACTTGACAAAGAGAACCAAAGTGCGAAAATTACTAGAAGAGCAAGACTAGCATGGGTAGGATTTGGAAAACTCAGTTGGATACTTAAGAACCGCAAAATACCCCAATACTTGAGGAGCAAAGTGTTCAACCAATACATCCTTCTTATCATGACATATGGATGTCAAACCTGGATCCTAACCAAGGCAAACATGAATAAACTAGCCACAACAGAAAGAACAATGGAAAGAGCAATGTTAGGTATACGACTGTCAGATAAAAAGCGGAACGACTGGGTAAGATCCAAAACAAAAGTCGAGGACATAACAATAAAAATTGTAAAACTTAAATGGAGCTTCGCGGGCCACACTGCTAGACAGAAAGACCAACGTTGGAATACTACAATACAACAGTGGAGACCTTACGAAAGTAAACGACCAAGGGGAAGACCACAGATGAGATGGGTTGATGACATTAGAAGAATAGCCGGGAAAAATTGGAAATATGTTGCTCAGGATAGAGACCGATGGAAGGAGTTGGGAGAGGCCTATGTCCAAACATGGACGACAGAAGGCTAAGAAGAAGAAGGAGAAACATTGATCTGTATCGGTTAATTCAGAAGTACTTCAAACTATGCATTTATTTTAAAAGATTTGCTTTCTGGGAAGGTAACCTGCAATTGCAATCAAACTTGTAATGTTTTTTATCTGAATATTTTTACATGCACGAAATGGATTGGCGATTGTTAAGAAGAGCCAGATAAAAAAGTTCATTGGCTATTTGTAATTGTAGACTATCTTTTCATACTTCCTTCTTAAATATTGATACCTTAAGTTCCACTTCTTTTCATAATTTAAATTCAAAAATCAAATATTGACAAGTAACCTATGGTTTTATCATTTTTAGTACACTAGTGATGAAGTTTTTGTTCGATCAACAATACGTCAAGCTGAAGCTGCCTCGCGATATGTACCTGTATACCTCTATGAATTAACATGGTTACCAGATGACAGTACTCTTCTAGGTAGGTTTAGAAAAAACTCATCAACTTTCATTATCTTTATCTGCTCGGCGGTTTATACTTCTTTTAAGTTCAACTTTGTACATATAAAATCTCTGGCACAAAATTAGTAAGAATTTACAAATAAATTGTAGATACAAATACAGCTTATGTCAGACGAGGATATATTTTGTCCCTGTTTCTAAAACAGTCAAGTGCTAGATACACTTTTACGACACTTTTAGGAATTCATTACGCCTTTTTAAAGAAATCTGATTTATTTTTGTTTATTAATATTATTTTAGGAGTCCCACATGGAACAGAACTATGGTACTTGTGGGACGGAATAAAATATGGTCCAATTAATGAAAACTTTCGAAAACCTGTATTAAAATGGTGGACCAATTTTATTAAATACCAGTAAGTATGAATCTTTCCTATTAATATTCATACAAAATAAAACAAGGTCAACTTAGTCACCACGGAAGTCCGTCAAATCGAAAAATTGATTAAGTGATGAAGTTGACTTTCACACGTGATAAAGTTTCCGAACTCTAAGGAGTCCCGCGCACTAGGCAGCCTGGATGCAACAGCAGCAACATATGAGCAGCCAGTTACAGGTCTGGTTGACACAAAAGTGTTTGTCATCAGCGTAGAGTTTTCGTGGGCGTGGCGTGCGTGTTCCACTCCCACTACTTTCTGTGTTTTACTTTTACTCGTTTTTGTTTCCGAGATGAACATAGAGAAGCTGATTGAACTCGTTCGGGATCATCCCGTGGTATATGATACCAGCCACGAGGACTACATGAGAACGAAATTGAAAATAAAGTACTTTTTTTTAAATACTGATTCCAGTAAATTGATGAGTCCAGTAAATTAATTAACAAATGATTCTCCATTAAAGTCATTTAAGCAACTGGCAACCGCCATAGCCCACGGATGGGTTTATTATGCGTTGCCCTAGAAAAATAAATCCACGGGTCGCCTGTGGTCTCGGTGTACGTTGGGCCTCGGCTGGGTTCAATATGCGTCAGTTCTAAAAATGTTGGAGATGGCTTTGGTTGACACGACAGGTGCGCGGAGAATAAAGGCAGTCACATTTATTCTCCTTCGAATTCCTTACTCGCTTTGGCTGTGGGCAGCCAACTGGCTGCCGATACAGCAGACGAGTTCTAGTGGCTGCCGCAACCAGAGATTCTTGGCTGAATAGTGCGCTGGCTACCGTAAGTTGTCGTGGTTTAAGTGGCTAACGCAGGCTGGCTGCTGCAGCCAGGCTGCCTAATACACGAGGGCTCTAATATGTAGGAAGTTGAAGATGATCAAGAAACTACGTTTTAGCTACCATTTAACTACCATTTAGAGCTGAGTTAGTTATTTAATGAATTGAAGTTTGAAGGAGCACTCACTGATGTAGGAATAAAAGGATAAAGGAATTATTCGAACATGATGATGATATGACCCAACAAAAATCCACCCAATGAGGTGGAAATAAAAGATTTAAGGAATTATCAAATACTCAATTTAATGGGTAACTTTGTTACTATGACTATAATAAGACCTGGTCAAAGTCGTTTTGGAAAGCTCTTCTTTCACCCATTTTTAAACGGAGCCTAAGAAACAGCTATCCGACATGATTATTTCTTACGGGAAAAATATTTGATTATCAGTGGCGCACCCAAACACTTGAAGGAATATATTATAGAATTTTTTTTTCGAGCATCCGTATTTTGAAGGTTCATAAATTTTTAAACATCGCTAATAGCCATTTTTCAGTTTCTATAGTAACGAACGTTTTAAAGAAAAATAAAAAAATATTGGTTGTTACCCAATTCATATCTTTATTAATTTTTTTCATGCTGCCTAATCTTACATTTTCAAATTTTGTAACTATGTAATTTATGGTTTATAAAAGTAAGTGTAAATGTAAAAAGTTTGTAAAAAGTGTGTAAAAAGTTTTTTAATGTTTTTTAGATTTTTTTTAACTTTGATATAAAATAACATGCTTTTCTACGTTTTAGAAATCCCACTCCAGAATCAGACGGAGAACTTCAAAATGTAATTTGGCCAGAAGTACAACCCGATGCTGTAAAGTATTTAGATATCAATTCGCAGTTCACAGTGAAAGAAAATCCTAGACATTATTATGATGTTAAAAATCTATTGGATCTTTACATACGTCCACCGTATATAACTTATTAAAATCTAGAATAAAAAAATCTTGTTGTTTATTAGAATAAATATGCAAAAAGAATATTTTTTTTATTATGGTACATATGTACAGTATATGTATATATCAATAACATACGACACAGAACCAAAGTTACAGATGTTGTGGAAAGAGCTCTCAAATTGAAATGGAGATGAGCTGGGCTGATCATCAAGGTTGGCACGCAAGTTATCCGACTGGACACCAAAGATTTTCTTCTTCTTTTAGTCCCCTATCCGATTTTTGAACCTTGATGATCATATTGGCACTAACTTTATTTACGGCGCCGCTAAATAATTTAGTGGTGGTCTCTTGATACCATTCTTGGAGATTTCGGAGCCAGGATGTTTTTCTTCGGCCCGGGCCTCTCCTTATAGCGATCTTACCGAAGATGTAGAAGGTTATACCTTTCTAGATGTCTCATTACATGACCAAAATATTCTAACTTTCAAATTTTTATCGTTTTTGTTATTTCTCTGCTCATTTTCATTCGATGTAAACTTATTTCGTTTCTTATTAGATCAACTCAACTTATCCGTAGTACTCGTCAATAAATCCACATCTTAAAGTCCTTCAATTTTGTCATTAATGCCTCTGTAAGGATCCAGCTCTCCATACCATACAGCAATGTGGAGAATATGTAGCAGCGTATTAATCTGATTTTAAGGTTTCACGTGATGTCTCTATGAATTAGAATTTTCTTTAATTTATAGAAGGCGGCTCTGGCTTTTTCAATGCGTATTCCTCTTTCTTTATTTATATCCCAGTTATCGTTAACGTTTGCGTCCAAATAGGTAATATCGTAGAGTCTTTCTAACTCTATTCTATACGCTCTGATGTTCGTTGGTTGTAACTCCGTTTTGCTGACAACCATAAGTTTTGTCTTAGAAGTATTAAGATTAATCCCATATTTATCACATGCTTTAGTTACCCTGTTTATAAGTCGTTGCAGATATTCTTAATTGGAGGCAATAAGTACCGTGTCGTCTGCATATCTGAGATGAAATTAATTTCGTTGATTTTAATACCTGTATCTTCAACTAAGGCTTCTTTGAAAATAAATTCGGAATAGATATTAAAAAGTAGAGGTGATAGAATACATCCTTGCCTTACTCCACGTTGTATTTCCACTGCTTCCGTCGTGTTGTCTTTAATTTGTATGATTGCACATTGAAGCTAATACAAATTTTTAATAATACAGAGGTCTCGGTCATTAATTCCCACCTGTTGCAAGACACCTATAAGTTTGTCATGGTTTACTCGGTCAAATGCCTTTTCGAAGTCGATAAAACACATATATACCGATTGTTTGATATCCCCACATCTTTGAATCATAACCTGCAAACTGAAGAGTACTTCTCTTCCAAGGTTCCTGGTTCCAAGGTGCTTCTGAAACCAAATTATTTCACTTAGTTGTACTTCTATTTTTTTCTAAATTCTCAAGTGCAGTATTCTTAGTAGGGATGGCGATTTTTGATAAAACACCGGTTTTCGGTTTTTTGTTTAATTCAATAGGTTACAAATTTACATTTACAATGCACTTTAGTTTGCTATTACTTGAGAATAATAATTATAATTGGGATCCAAAATAATACCTAACCTAATCCTAATCAAAGTAAAAACCTAATAACCAGTTTTTACTTTAAAAATAAAAAACCGGTTATAACCTGGACAAAAAAACAAATTATAAAACCGGTTATTGCCGGTTATAAGTAAAAAAATCGGTTTTCGGTTAAAACAGGTAGGTTTTTCCCATCCCTAATTCTTAGGAAGATTTTCAGTACATGACTCATCAGACTGATAGTGCGATGATCGCTACACTGTTTGACATTTATTTTTTTCGGTATCATTACAAATGTTGAAAGCAGCCAGTCTGTTGGTATATGTCCTGTTTCGTATATTTTATTGAAGAGGCTTAGAAGAGAATGTTTACCGTTATTGTCGAGTAGTTTGATTATTTCGCTTGGAAAGTGTTTGTGTGTGTGTGTGTGTGTGTGAATGTTATGTTGGACCAGTCAATATATTTTCGATTTGAATGTCTGTTCTATTGTCACCAAACAGCTCCTTAATATATTCTCTCCACCTCTATAATCTGTCTTCTTCATTGATTATATGTTTCAGTTATTTCGTTTACCGTTTTGTACATATTAAACGTGTCATTCTTTTTCTGCAGTTCTTCTATTTCAAGACATTTGTTGCCGTACCCTATTTTTTTTGCACCCCGGATTTTCCTTCTAACTTTTTTATGAATTTTATTATATTCTTCAGTGTTTTACTTTTCTGTTTTCGTCTGCTTTTCATTAGTCCCAATATTTCATCAGTCATCCATTGTTGTTTGTATTTTAACGTGATTCCAGTGGTCTTCGACGTTATGTGTTTCTTTCGATATTTCAAACACCAAGGATAGATAAACGTAATAAAAAAGATCAGCTACGCTATGGCAGGATCATTTGCAAAAGATGACGAAACATTGGATCCATACTGCACAAGGCTGTGCATTCTGAATACAAATGGAAAGGTTTATATTCCAAAGTGGACTTAACTCAGATCGTCTAGATTAGTTGCCATCTAGAGCCCATACAAAGATATCTTCTCATGGAGACCTCCAAATTATGAGTCTTACGTTGTCATGCAGAGTATCTGTTAACTTTAATATCACACCAACTTATTAACAAAGATGTAACAAATAACAAGTGAAGTATCCAAGAGGTTTTTTTAATTCTATACCTTTTATAAAGGATTTTTACTATGAATATTTCTATGAACATACTCAGACTGTAATAAACGAGACTTCAAATCAGGAATATATTATTAGAATCATTATGATGTGATTTTAAAGCTCGTGTTAGCAATAATATAGTTTCTATATTATCCTAGTTTTTATACAAAATAGTATAGGCGAGTCTAGGTCGCTCAAGTCAGTGAGCTTTTTTAATCAATTTAATAACGCTTGACTTTTAGGTTATTTTTTAAAGATTTTTGTTTTGTCTTTTTTTTTCCACCCTCTCCGGTCCTGAAACAGTTCACTCTAGTTTACAATTTCTACCCTTGATATATCCTCTAGCAGTTGTCCTGTCCATTGCATTTTGGTCTTCCTCTAGGTCTGCTTATTACTGGTTTCTAGTTCGTTGTTCTCCTAATTAGTGCATCTTCTTCTCTTCTTTGTATATATCCAAACCCTCTCAGTCTTTGTGCTATATTAAATTTATTTTACTATGTCTTCTCCTTCGGTTATGTTTATTATTTCATGGTTCATAAGTCTTCTATATTCTCCTTGTTCTGACTTAATTGGGTTATGTATTCTTCTCACAATTTCTCGTTTAATTATTCTTAGTTTTTGTCATCTTTTTTCGTAAGACACATTACTTCCGCTCCATGTGCTATCACCGGTCTAATTGCTGCCTTATATATAGCTTTGTCCTACATTTTTGGTCAGGTTTTTGTCTTTAAGTCGTCGGTGATTTTTCCAATACACCCCGTTCCCCGCTTTAATTATTTCACTTATTTCTGCAATTCTTCCATTTTTTCCATCCACTAACACCCCCATGTATTCAAAGTAATCGACCCTCTGGAATTTATTTTTATTGTTTTTTATTTTTGTTTACCTCGTCTCTTGTACTTATTAAGTATTTTATTTTGTTCTAATTATTAGTCCTCTCTTTTTTGTTTCTTTTATCAACGTTAGAAGTGTTTCTAGCTGCCAGAGGCAGTCGACAAAGGATTTGCAATATCACTGCAACTCTAGAAAATATATTCAGCAAAATGAATTGACAGAACAAAGAAATATCCATTGATCGAGAAGACCTCAGCTAACGAATGCAGACATCGTTCTGATTGCTAAGAATCCACCAGAACTACAAGCAGTTATAAGTCACCTAAATACAGCTAGCAATAAAGTTGACCTAAAAATAAACTTATCAAAAACAAAAAACCATGTACAACGAGCTAGTGGATGTCCAAGATAGAATAATAAACAACGCTGCACTTAAGACAGTAGACGAGTATGTATACCTGGGAAAATTAATACATAGATCTGGCCCCCACTTTCAGAAGTCAACAGAAGAATAAAACTGGCTTAGGCATCTTTTTAAGTTTCGTTGAGCCAAGAAATCGAAATCGACTTTGTGAAAGACCGAACGTTTATCTTCTTCTTTTTACGGTGCCTATCCGTTCCGGATATTGGCGATCAACATGGCTATCCTAACTTTGCTTGCTGCTATTCTGAATAGTCCGGTTGTCGATGTATTAAACCACTTTCTCAGGTTTTAAAGCCAAGATATTCTTCTTCTCCTTGTTCCTCTCTTTCCAAATACTTTGCCCTGAAGAATGAGTTGCAACAAGCCGTATCTCTGTTCATTCCTCGTAACATGGCCAAGATATTCTAGTTTGCGCTCTTTGATGGTGTTAATAATCTCGCATTCCTTGCTTATTCTACCTAGGACCTCAACATTAGTCACACGATCCACCCATGAAATTCTTAAAATACGTCTGTAAGACCACATCTCGAATGTCTCGAGTTTTCTTAAAGAAGCTTCGGAAAGTGTCTAGGCCTCTATTTCGTATAATACCGTAGAAAATATATAGCATCTAATAAGAGAGATTTTGGTAGCAAGTGGTAAATCGTGACTTCTGAAAAGAGACTTCATCATTATGAATGCTGATCTCGCTTTTCCTATGCGTTGTTTTATTTCACTGGAGTGATCCCATTTGCTATTAATGTTGGTATTAAGGTATGTGTAGCTGTGCACTCTGTCAATTGGATGTTGGTTAACCAAAAGCTGTGTATTTAATATTTCGCTATTACTGACTACCATGTACTTTGTTTTCTTCATATTAAGATTAAGTCCAGGTTCTCTACTTATATCTGATATACGTGACATTATTCTTTGCAAACCGTCCAGACTATCTGCAAAAACTACTGGCGGCATATCTGATGTTGTTTAGACGCATTCCGTTGACTAATACGCCTTGTTGTAGTTCTCCCAGCGCTTGCTCGAAGATATATAACAGAATGGCATCCTTGCCTCACTCCTTTAT